TCACAGGAGAAGTAAGAAGTAATATATAAAAAACAAGTGCGAGGATCTCATCAGGGGTTCCAAACACCGAGAAACACTCAGCAGGCAGAGTTCTTTTATTGTTTCAAGGTGTTTGGAACCCCTGATGAAACTTGAAGCACAAGTTTTTGAGATGACTTCTCAAACGAAACAATAAAAAAATATATAATTATATGCAGTGATACATTTTTTTGCTGTTGTTCTCCCCAAATGAAAGAACAATAATTTATGCAGCAATGCAATCTTGCCATTTTCCATAACATTAGTTCAACATGCATGATTAATTGTTTTGGTGTAGTTGGTGTCTGACCACGAGTGAAGACGGAGAGGCAAGATTTAAAACAGTTTACCAAGAATGCGAGTTAGTCAAAAAGGCTATTCCCTAATCAACCACATATAAGAACAAATGGGGGATAATAATTTTTGGCGAATAGCAAATTTCTCAGTCAGTTATAGCTCCCATTTTAGATCCAGGAGGGCTCTTTAAAGGCTATAATTTACACAAGGTCGCACAGTTTTCTACCAGCATTGAAGAAATGGATGTGGTAACCCTGAATTACTGGCTTAAAGTTTGTGACCGTGGTGGCCAAGAAGTCAGAAGAGGCCCTCATGAATAGGTAATGAGTTTGAGAATCATATATCTCACCAAACTGGTTTGGAGCTGATGTGCATGTTTGTTTTCATTGACGCTGACAGCTGAGATTTAATTGTATGTGGCTCAATAAAATCACTCTGCCTGCGGAGTGTTTCTCGGTGTTTGGAACCCCTGATGAAACTCGAAGTACTAAAATTTTTGAGATGACTTCTTGATGCCTAAAAATAGAATTGAGCGAAAGCTCACTTAAAAAAGAAAGTGCTATTAAAAATTGTCACAAATCCTTTTCCAAATAATACACTTCAAGTTTCAAGCATGTTGTAAAAACGACAGAACAAGAGTGAGTACAAATAAAGATTGTTGTTGTTGTTGTTGTTACACACTCTGTAACTAGCTGTTTTTAGAAGTTGATAAGAAGAATTTTCCGTCCACGACACTTGTGTTACTGCACCAGGTCAAACTAAATATTGCCAGACAAAATGACTATACCAAACAAAACATCAATGTGCTGCATTTTTTAGCAAATAAACCAAGCCATGAACTATCAGGAATTAGGAAAAAAAGAAAAAAACCTTTTGCACTAAGGGTACTATCTGTGAGAATTCAACATCATGGATTGTCTTACGAACAACACTGCAGAACTAAGCCCAAGATGACAAAGCATAGCAGGAAATCATCACATTCATTCAAAGTACATCCTTTGGTAGGAAAAATTCAATCAAAGCTTTTTCCTTGAGCTACGTTGATTCAGTTGTCAGGTGTTCGCATGAATTATTTCGAAGTTTAGCCAGAGGTTGCTTAGCCACAGTTCCAAAATGAAACATTTAAGCCGAGATCTCCAAATTATAAACCCTGATTATATTGTTTGTTATGAACATCGCAACCGGTTTTTAATCTCGTGCGGTGAAGATCTTTGATGCAGCCATTCAAGTTCACTGTTACAGGTTTAATTCCCTGCAGATGTGAGAGTAACCAATCGATGACCCAGTTCAGATTCTGAACTGATTTCTGGCATGGAAATGAGGTTGCTTGCTTGTGTGACCAGAGGTCTGTCTTGAGAGCCTTATGAAACCATAAGCCACTTTTGTCATCTATTAGGTATTTTGAGAAAGGACCTCTGGAGCCAGAGTAAGATCCATATCGCTCTTTCAAATCCCAAAGTCAATTTCAGAATCCACGTTCAGGGCTATTGTGATACCATCATTAGTCTTTCAACTTAACATTGTTAATCAAGCAAGCAACTAAATGAATCGAATGATCTTGCTTGTTTTTGCTACAGTCGAACACCTCTCCACAACAGCCACCCATCTACAATGGCCACTTTTATTTGTGCCAGCAGACAGTCCATACATTGGCTCTTATTAAAACTTCCCTACATCGGCCACCTCTCCACAATGGCAAAAGCCACTAAAGCGTGTGCCCAACTGCGAAAATAACCTCTCGAGAACAGCCAGTTTTTGTTTAGCACTAGAATGGAGCTAATTGCTAATAAAAACTTATAAAAGTTAAAGTTAAAGTTTTAACCCAGCTGAAGGCTAGGAAAACTGTTATGTGGGTTAAAAGCATCTCTGATTTTTGGAGATTTTGGTATCCAAATTAAAATTCCTCGTCTGAGAATAAATATTACTTTAATCTTTATGAGTTCCTCAAGCAAAGAATTCACACATTAGTAGTAAAACTAAAAAACAGATGTTTCTGTTGGTTTCCGTCTACCATATTGTGCCCCCGAAGGGGACACCAACATGGCATCTCCATTCAAAGCTTGATAAATTTGGGTAAAACGTTTTTCCGAATGTCTTGCATGTGAAATAATTGCACAGACCTGATTCTTGGCAAGGCTTTTTGTATATTTATCTTCATTCATTTTCCAGATTCTAGACTTTCTGTATTGAGTGGTTTGCATTTTTATTTTTAATGGCATGACAGTGAAAACCAAGAATATGGCACAAGTAAAGCCTTCAGTGAGTTTGTAGGGCAAAGGTGAAACAACTTAACAGCTTTAGGTTCCTTCTACAAAGGGTCTTGTTTTTGGTTTAAAGAGTGAAGAGCACAATAAGATTTTGTCATAATTATGTAATCTTAACTCGTCCAAATGTTTTTTCTTAAATTTCTTTGAGTGAGTTGAATTTTCCATTGTAGGTTCTTCAAGGGAAAGTGATCAAGTTCCACGGAGAGTAGACAGTGGAGATTTGTCAGGACATGTATCTTCAGTAGTAAATCCAATTCAGTGTTCAAGCAGTTATGGCACAGTTACTGAAGTGGTTCCTTCCTGCAGCTCAAGTTGTCAACAGTCTCCTGTGAATGTTGTAGTCAATGGGGCTGGAACAAGAGCATGTATGAACAATGCCACTGAGGGAGATCAGGTCAATGAAGAAATGTTGGAATCACAAAATGAGGTGATCTTCTGAAGTTAATTGTTGTAGCAGTAAATGATGGTAATTTTCTGTCATTTGATGACTTTCCATTAGTAATACTAAGCCTACACAGATCTCTCTATTTTGGTTTTCTTCCGTCAGCTCTCACTTCTCTAACCTGTCCTGTGTAACTGTAGCCTGCATGCACAGGGTCCAAAATTGCAACCAGCTGTACATATCTTACCTAGCCAAAATGTAAAAAGCATTGACTGTTTACAGGCAAATGAATTCACCGAGGTAAAAAAATTTTGTTCAGAAGTGACCTGGTATGAGTAACATGGCAGTTACCTAGTTGCTCGTAACTGCTTGAAGGTTTTGCACTGGGAAGTATATATGGGGAAACGCAGTAGTGTTATCTCATGTCTTTCAGCTAACAGAGCTATTTATTCAAGGAAAAGTCCTTTTCAACTAAAATATGACTTTTGGGATTGTTCATGAGTATTATTGATTATGTTTTAATGGAAAAAAGGTCTTTTAAAACTTTATTTTGCGGGGGACCAGAATTTTTCTAGCTGGCGACTGAAAAAAAAATTTTAGTTGCCACTTGGCGCCTGGATAAAAAAGTCAATTTCAGACCCTGAATGCAGATAGATTGTAAGTTGAAATAGGAGAAGTCTGCACAAGAATAACTCTTAAAAGCAAGTGTGCTGTTTCTGAATGAGAAATATTTCTGGAAAAAGGAGAAAAAAAATACTGTATATATTTATTATAGCTAAAACTGAACTGAAGCCAGCAGTCGCTAATTTGTGTGTGAACTTCTGCTTTTGTCCTACGAAATAAAACACTTTTACTTCCAATGAGACTTCTGTTTTAAAAAAAATCAACATTTTTGTCTGATAGTGAAACAATTCAACAATCCAATTCAGATAAACAAAATTATCTCCCAAGTAATTAGCAGAAAGCGCTGATAAACAAAAAAAAACGTTAAATGGTCGTAAAAAACAAACCTTTGTCTCAGCATGCATAAGCCAAACTCCTCCTTTCTGAAGACTGGAAGGAGAGTTTCAAAAATCTAAAGGGGTTGATTGTGGGCAGTTTTTTAATTTTATTATTTATTTTTTTAAAACATTTATTGGATTACGATAATTCTTATGAAAATACTTACATTTACATGGAGGGAAAATAGAAACAACTAAGACTTAATGCATTAACATGACAAGAGAAAATGTAAAATACAATATTACAGCATATACAGCTACCTAAACCTAAAAATGTTTTACAAATTTGACTAATAATTGCAAGAGAAAAAAAAACACTAAACAACAAAAACATAAAGAGTCTGTCCTACTAACTAAAAGGCGCCTTGCAATTGCATTTGTTTCTGCATCACTTTTTACTTTTGGAGTTATTTATTTTCAGCAAATTTATTTGTCCGAGAGGTGGAGTTTAAGGGGGCTCCATTTGTTTTTGAAGGAAGGTACATTGTTATTATCACAGATTGCAGGTGGTTTTTCTTAATGCTTTCCCCCCTCACCCCCTCCCCGATTGTTTTCCTTTTTGTCCTCAGTTCAGCTTTCGTGCAGCTGAATCTCTTATTTTACAAACTTAAAAAGGAAAAAAGACACCAAAAAACCGCCAGCTATGCAGGCTATAGTCAAGGAGAAATAGTTTCTAAACCCGCTAACTGCTAGTTAATACTTTGTGCATGCAGAGGAATGATTCTGCTTAAGTGAAAAGTGGAATCATTGAACTTTCCAGTCATGTATTGTTTTTATAATCATTGGTTTCATAGTCACAATTGTCAGACTGGCCTTCAGACTCAGGCATAGAAGGAACTGATAATCCCTTTGTCGATGAAAGTAAGTTAATTTTTTATGGAACACTCTTATAATATTAAAATATTTATGCTACTACATAAGAAATTTCTGCAATTTGATTGGCTGAGAGCAGTGGTATTTCAGCTTAATTTGAAATACCTACATGTAAAAATTACAACCTTTTGCGGGTAGTAGTATAAACAAATAATAGCATGATTTGTACGTGACATTTGGCATAAATACCACTCGTGATATTTCAAAATTGTCTAAAATTTCACTCACCTAACGGCTCATGAAATTACATATAACAATTTTGAAATATCACCCGTGGTATTTATGCCAAATATCACTACTAATCATGCTATTACCTATACTCATATTTCTTTGTGGGAAATTTCAGCAATTTGATTGGCTTAGAGCAGTGGTATTTCAGCTTAATTTGAAATACCTACATGTGAAAATTACAAACCTTTTGTGGGTAGTAGTAAAAACAAATAATAGCATGATTTGTATGTGATATTTGACATGATTTCCACTAGTGATATTTCAAAATTGTCTCAAATTTCACTCGCCTAACAGCTCGCTAAATTTGATGTAACAATTTTGAAATATCACTTGTGCTATTTAAATGTATGCCAAATATATACTTCAAATCATGCTATTACCAACACTAATAGTTGTATATTAATTATCAAAATGTTACCTAGAACTAGAATGTGTGAAGAGGTGAAGGACTGACTCAACATGTGAACAGCCAAATTAAAGGATTATTTCATTGGTCATTATTTTTATTCATAACTGATCTATAACAGGCCTGCCCTGTACATCAATTGATCGTCTTTTTTCAACATAATTTTAAATGACCATTTTAATGCATTATTTATTGTTTTAAAGCTTAATAAATGACACTGTTTGAGAGTTTCATTACATAAGTTAACATATTCTAATTTAACATATTTTAACATACTGTAATTTAAATGAAAACATATGTTTACAACTGTGTGTAAGCTAAAACTTACTGGTTATTGTTGATGATAAATCATAATTAATCTATTTAATTAATTTTACGTCTTCCAGGAGGAAATGGAGATAGCAACAGTCTAGATCTTGGAGTTACCATTTATCCGCAAGCGGTGCCTTTGCAGGTATCCCGTTTTGTAACTTTCAATAATGTATATCATACTGGTATTTCTATTATTCCACCCAGGTGATACCTAGTACTGAAACAGAGTATCCTTAACTCCCCCATGGAGGGCAAAAAAAGACCCAGAAAACTACGGTGTGATCATCCTGGGCTGTGCATTTTTAGCCATAACCAGGATCGGGAGTATTGAATTGATTTTTGTTTGCTCTTTTGAGAAGCCCAGATTAGGGAAAATTTAAGAAGTTGTGCGTGGAATAAGGCCCTGAATGACTCCTGTTGTAATACCAGATTCTTCCTCTGATACACCAACATATAGAAGGCAATTGGTAGGAGAATCGATCTTTTCATCAGAGGTCCCTTGGGGTATAGTCTAGGCAGGCCTTCATTACTAACGTAAAGTGGGATGGCTTGAAAAGTTTCACCAGTGATTAATCTTATACTAGCAGCTGTGAAAAAAGCTGAGATTGTCTTTAAAAGAGTGCTGCGTCAAAGAAAGTGGCCAATACAAAAATTCTTAAGAATTGCATTCAGTAGTCAACCTCTGGAAGTTAGATAGCGCAAATAGGTCAAGACGTCTATTTTTCAATTGCAAATTGTTACATTTTTACTGAACCCCTCCGTTAAAAAAGAATAACTATTTCATATGTCATTTTAACTTTCTATCCTTTGAAATGCACATTTGGTAAGGGCCGTATCACGGGGATGAAGTTGTAATAGCTTGGCAATTCATAATGTGTTCATCAGTTACATCTCAATATGGTCGAATAAATGTGGCTAATTCAGCTACTGTAACGACGTGGCTGCATGAACAGAATTTTCTTTTCCTATGAAAAAACAAAGTGGGTGTAATAACAAGGTGGCCTTGTAAATGAGGTGACTGTATGGCGCGGTTCCTCTGTAACTCTCTTCAGCCAGTATTCCACATATTTCGGTATACTAAAACAGTGGATAGAGTTTTTCGCGCGTTCTGATTGGCTGCTTAGACTCGATCCCGTGCTATTCACCTCCAAGCGACGCCAAACTCGCCGAAACTCGCGTAAGTTACGAGCAAATGGCTTCCCGGTTTGCTGTCGTAACAAACGAAGAAATTTCACAAATAATGTGAGAAACTGTTCCCGAAAAACACGAAGAAGGCTACGAAATCCGGTTTGGAAGTTTTAACAGATAGAGTTTCTGAAGTTTCGTCTGTTTAACCTAAATTTATCGATCAAACCGGTGAGAACGTTTTATTTGTCGGCAAGACAACGTGACAGCAGTAACTTCGATCATTTGCGCGCAAAAATTATAATCGTTAGCAGCAATAAATAAGTTAAAATATCATTACTTTTGAGCTCAATTATCTCACTGTTATAGTATACACTAAAACAATTATTCACCGAAGTGGCACCGTCGGTAAATATCCTTCACTAGCCACCTCCACTTCGTTGAATAATTGTTATTTGTCCCATGTGATTAAGCAGAAGTGGACAGCACACTGCTCGCAGTCACAAATTAAATGACAAAGGTCTTTCTTAGACCTCACGTTTTGACTACTGAGCTTTATAATGATTGTATACATGTATGTAGATAGGGTTCATTTATCATTAAATTTTGTCCCCTAAATAGTCACTTTGTTACCGATCACAACGTTTCAACAGCCAATCAACACCATCTCCTTATTGCGATCAGCAGTGAATGGTCGAAACATCAAAGTGACTATCGTGAGACATGATAAACGAGCCCTGCGGAGCTTTTCCTCCAATTGCAAATTTATATGGTTTCCGCCTGAATCCTTAAGTAAAGAAAAAGATTCTCATGAAATCACAAAGTCTTATCTCCAACAAGTTATATGAAGTCACCACTCTTTGGTGCTGCACATACATACCTCCATGGCTTTGAATGAAAAGCAAGATTTGACCTGGACATCTCCAGATTACAAACCTGGTGCTCTCATTACTCCACTTCAGTTACTCTGAATGTTAGGCTTACGTTTTTATGTATTGTTTTAAACACGTGCTGTGAGTTCTCTGATTAGCTTCAGAAACGTCCTCGGAGTATTTCATCGATAGGTTTGCTAAATAATGCATTTCTCGTTTTAAAACGTGTTAATTGAAAAGTGTGAAACAAAAGCGCCAAAATAACAAAGGTTGGTCAGAAATAGTTTTACAGCTGAAGTGCACTTATTTCACCTATTCCTTTTTGGAATGGTAACAGAAGTATCTTGATATGGGCTGCCGTTTGGTGCTTTCTCCGTTTGAAAACTTTGTATTTCGTTTTAGATTAAGTTCTGACTAGTTGACGGTTATTTGTTTGGTTAAGGATGAATGTTTTTCGTGAATTTTTTTCTGTCTTTGGTAGATACATTAAATTTAAATTTCTGATTTTTCATTATCTGAAAATTAGGAGGACCGTTTTATGTAAAATCTCATGTTTATCAGCATTCCATTGTTTCATTCATTCAGCCCCCTGTTTCCTCTGACTTTTCAGTTTACTGAGTTTTACCGGGTATAAAGGTCCTTACATGTGATTAAATTCGCGAAGTCAGTTGCCTACTGAATATTAATTAGTTTTTGAATGATTTTTGAAACCCACATGATTTCGCTGATGAAATATTATTATAGGACATACCATGTTTTATTCGCTTTTGATCATTCAAGTTTATGTTTTACAGGGTGGTCAAGTTTGTTGGTTTGACTTCACGCCAATGCTACCTCTATGGTTTAACTCAGGAACTGCCAATTTTGGTTTGCTAGGGACGGTAGAATTGTCGAGGCACAACAACTCGTTAATTGGTAGGCCTATTCCAGGTATGTGCTGAGATGTTTACACAACTAAATAAAAATATGATAAAAATACATGATGTATGATAAACGATGCCAACTTTCCTCTTAACCTCTCCTTTTTCGCGTTTTTAGCGGAGCTCGTTTTTCATCTCTCCCCACAGGGAGGGATGAAAAACGAGCTCCGCCAAAAACGCCTGCGTGGGAGGCTACTTGGGATCCCCCTCTCTTGTAAGTCTACCATTCCTCCCATCCTTTCCTTTTAAACAAAATGCAAAAGGTGCTAATTTAACTATTGTCTGTACTATACTTCTGATTGGTTTAAACAGTGAAATTTACGAAAACTTAAGTAGCATGTATATTAATTCTTAGCTTTCCAACCAACTTCCATATAACAAAATACCATCCAAGTCTAAATAACACAGAAATGCTAGGTGAAGAACATGTGAAATTGTAAATTTTTCTTGGCTGTCGTTTGCAACTCTTATGAGTGGTCAAAATCTGTTAACATAAAGAAACGCCTTTTCAAAATGGTGTTATATATTATATATTTTATTTCGTAAGTACCTTTTTTAGGTTTATTTTTTTAATTTTGTTAATGAGATCACATTATATCTTTCCCATTTACGTGTACTATGATGTTAATTTAATGTGCCTCTTTTCCTGGCAATATAAATACGCCTAGTCCTAGCAATGAACCCGTGAAGGGAGGGCATACCCTTCTGACATTTTTGTGAATAAATATAGTACTTCCCAAGCAATTAAAATATGATTAACTGGAAGGAGATCATCTCCAACATCAAATGTATCGGAGATTATATCTTCTTCTTTTAATTTCACAACAATAATATTGTTGTCTCGCAGCCAGGACAAGACGTGTTCCCTAAAATCAGAGGATATTTTGCAGGAATAAATAAATAGATTCCAAAAAAATAAATAAATAGATTCAACTTCAGGTTAGCAGAAAGCACATTTTTCTGATTCAGCCATGTCAAAATGAAAAAGTTTCTCATTCATAAATGCGATACGGTTTAATATTTTGAACTGAAATTCCCTAAGTTTTGTTTCTAATGTTGTACAGAAAGATAGTAAGTAAACTCTTTTCCAGTCAATAGTTAAATGATGACACTTTGTAGATAGTTTCTCTTTAGCGGAAGGTGTGGTTTGTTTTTTCGCCAGAAAAGACTGATAGATGTGCTTTGAGGAAGCGTCAAGAATTGGATTTAGGTTCATGCATTCTCTGTGTAAAAATAAAAACATTCCTATGTGAGGAAAGCATATTACCCATAACGAAAGAAATATGCTCTTTGCCTTACCCAGATGATTACTCAAAAAACAAACACTACATTAGAAGTAATTATTGGACAAAAAAAGCAATGAACTTTAAGGAATGACAAAAAAATCCGCACATCTTTAATTTACCTTTTGAGGGAGGGGCTGGGTTATTAAGTGGCATGTTCAGAGAAGAATTCTTACCCGAACTACATTTCCGAAAGTCCCACTACACCCCTTTGCAAAGTTATTAATCAGCCCCTAAATCTAATGTTGTAAAAGTCGATTTTAATTCACGATACCCTTTGCATGGTCGATGGGTAACGGACCCAGTTACCCATCAGTCATGCTTTTTCGGTCTTGCTTTTGTTTTTCTCATCTTGACTTATAAAACAGGCCCAGGTTGTTCAAACGTTGGATAGCGCTATCCAACTTTTGAACAACCGGGGCCAGAGGAATTAAGAGATCCGGCCTTTAATATTTAAACAAGAAATAAGTAATTTTCAAACTATCCCATGAAATTTGTTATCATTTAGAATAAAAAAACAAAACATTTCGCCCGATTTACTCCAATGCCTTTTTTACCCACTTATCACTTTTAAAGTAAAAACTTTAGTAAAGGTAACTCAAAATATACTTGATATTTATTCATTTTGATTTCAACTCAGACTCAACTATGACTTCCAACTCGACCATTATCGTTTGTCGCTTTTAAATTTCGCAGCTAGGCCAGAGGCTGGGTCAGAAAATGTTATACTGAGGTCAGAGACTGGTGTATATTTGGGGCAAACCGAAATAGAATACTACGATGAAGTCGAAAGAAGTATTGAATTTTTGGTTAGAGACAGTAAGAATCACCCGCGCCTTCTCCGTGCTTTAGCCTCAGCCTCTGAATCTTCAGCTGGTGATGGCCAAATTTCCGCGAGTTGTGGTGAGTTTACTTACGCTGTAAACTAATCGGCTTATTTTAGAAAAAGAATATGTTAACTATAACAGCAATGTCACTGTGTCACCGATTTTTATTAAAGTAATTTATTTAAAACCCTTAACATCCCCTCTTGAATCAGTTTTTGTTTTTGTGATCAAAGGATAAACTACACCAGAAAACCAGTCACATCACATAACTTACGTTAGTTAATCACTTAATTATTCAAAATTTGCAAGAGCACAGAGGCCTTAGGTTTTCTTGATATTTGTTAAAAAAAAATATATCACCTAAGTGAACTTTAATTTTAATTTGTTGTCTGAAGGTGAGCCTCTTTGCCATTTTTAACTTCTTCAAATAGGTTCTACACAACCCCTGAAGACGCTGAAGCTGTCTGTTTATGCAGCAGCAAAATTTGGTGCCAAGCGGTTTCTTAAAACAGTATTTAACTCAAAGGCTGGAAGAAAAGTTTTTAATGCTTATAAGGACAACCCGCCCTTACCTGAGGTTATTGCCCGGAAATATGGTCATGAGGAGACTGCAAGTTACCTTGAAGAAATAACTATAAGGTACCCCCTACCCATGTGACTTGATAGACTAGCAAGTAGATAATACCCGGGCTAAACATCCGGCTGTCAAAGTGATTTTCCTGACTGACGAAGTACGGTCTGAAAAGGTTACTGTTTTAGTGCTCATTTTTTTTTTAAAGAAATGTCAGTTGTTCTTGGCCGTTTATACACCAATACAGCCGTATTATCGGCTTATCTGAGACAAAACGATCGTCAAAACTTTATTTCGAACAAGTTAAAGTTGGGATCGGCAGGAAGGGAGGCTCGACAGCGCGAGAAGATCAGACGTATCTAGCAAATTCAGAACACTTGCTGCAAGGAACAGGCTGAAGAATGGTGTGCTTAATTTATTACTGCAGGTTTCCATTAATGGTTCAGCTGTTGCATCAAAAGATAAGGAATATATACTGTGGTTAACGTGTATTTTGGACGAATCGGCGGTTTTGCAAACGAACACTTAACGTTCCCTGGTACACAGATAAAATATAGCTTGTAGAGCAGAGCTAGGAAGTTTTCCACTTTGTCTTCACATAAAAACTGCAATTTTCAGTTACTGGCACTGAGAGACTGCAGCATGATACTGTCAACCCTTTGTTGTCTGAGACATTTCAACATGCATCAATGTTTAATAATAATTTTTATGTGTTAAACAATGAAGATATGATAACACATCAAGAACGCACACTACAAATTTAAAGCAGGTCTAAAGAAAGAGTATACCGAAAATTGAAAGAAGTTATAGAACTATATCAATTCGAAAATTATCTCTTAGAATTAAAAACCCCAGCCCACAGGATAAGCCTCACAAAACTAAGATTAGGGTCCCATATACTAAGAATACAAACTGGAAAGTATGAAAACTGCGGCGTAGCTATACCTGTAGGAGAGAGAACGTGCTTGGTTTGCAAACAAAACCAGATCGAAGATGAACAACACTTCTTGATGTTTTGCGATGGGTACAATTTATTGCGACAAGAGTTATTCACTTGTATTTCACGGGTGTCTCTTTTGTAAATCTTAACGCCCATGACAAAATAAGATATTTGTTGACAAATACTAGTAAACAATACTAGTAAAAATTTTAGTAGGCAAATATATGAATCTTATGTTCAAAAAGAGAAAAGAATTACTGAAAGTGCAATTTGATGGAAAATTTTTTGATTATTTTTATTTTGCGTGTATCATTACAGCCGTTATTGTCACTTTATTGGAAGAAGGCCGATACTTCCTAATGGAGAGTAAGGCACAATAAAGATCTACTGTTAGTTATGTTACTGTTGATGTAACCCTGTGTTGGTGGACCAGGTTACCCAGTGTGATTCCTCAGCTGTCCCGTTAAATGATGCACTGTTATGCTAGGAACAGCATGAGGGAAACCAAAGACAACTAAGTATACCCTAGTATGCCTTTCCAACAGGCCTATTACTGCTAATGTATTATCAGCCCAAGAAAGAGTTTAAAGGCAGCAAATCTACTTTTCCTTTTCGCAATGTCAGATGAGGTAATACAGTTCTTTGTACGGGCATTAATTTGAGAAGGAAGACACGCGTCTCTTTTAGATCTACTAACTCGTCATTTCAGTCTTGTTTCAAACTCTCATTTACAATTGTGATCAAGTTCCTTATTCACAAAGAATAAAGATGTATTTTCAGATGTAATTGCTGGTCATAGTTTATTGTTCACTTTGTCTAGCCCTTCAAGTGTCCATCAAAAGTTGATTGAGTCTGACGCGTGGATCTCCTTGGCTGTGTTTTGGCACTGGAAGGTCTATGTGGTAGTTGCATTGACTACCGTGGAGTATTTTGGTTTGTTATGGTTGCCTAGTAAATGCCTGAAGGTGGGATGATTGGCCTGTTTGTGAGAGGTGCCTTGCTATGTTGCAAGATAGCTATATAAGCATATGGCTCAAAAAGGGTTTGTCCCTCCACTTCTCTCTTTTAAGGAGTACTGCATCATGGACTTTGTTGTTGTGTTATTTGGTGCTATACTGTATTTGGCATCATGGTAATTCTGGAATTTCTGTTTGTACTTGGTATCTTTGTTCCTGTGTTTCAGTTTAGGACGAGCTTTTCTGTTCACCATCAGCTCGCACGGTTCAGTTCTTGGGTGTGTGGTCTCCTGGTTGGCGTAGAGCATGATATACATGGCTTCATGGGAATTGGTCCTTTCTTCATGAGCTATAGCTGCTGTTTGCGATGTGATGATGATGATGATGATGATGATGATGATTATTGCTGATACTAACAGGTAAAGGTGTTAAATCTGGTTTTCATTGGCTCCGGGCGACAACCAGTTGCCTAGAAAAGCCAAGAAGCGTCCTTCATTTTTACGTTTGCTCCCTAGTCTACATCTCCAACACTTTCCTAAGGATCCTTGCTGACCCCAAAAGGGCACATCTCTGAATCAGCTCAATGGATGTGCCGACACCTATGGTCCTCAGATTTTCTTTTATCCTCAGTGGTATTGTTCCCAATCCCCCCACCACTATGGGTGTCACCTTTTTCCTGATGACCCCTTTCTTTCGAATTTCTCTCGCGAGATCTCTATATTTTTCTACTTTCTCGTCTTGCTTTGCTCTCACCCTTCTATCATCAGGAATTGCCACGTCTATAATTTGGCAGTTGTTCTCTCTTTTGTCAATGATCAATAGATCCAGTCTCCTAGCCTCAATTTCTTGGTCTGTTCTTATACTAGAATCTCACAGCATCTTGTAATCCTCATTTTCAAGTACAGTGTCCGTAACATGGTCATACCATCTCTCATTTCGCTGAAACCCATATTTTCTTAACAGGTCCCAATGGATTGCTCTAGCTTCGTTGTCGTGTCTTTTTTTATATTCTTTTTGTGCGAGTTTTGCACACGCACTTACAATATGGCTGATTGTCTCTTTGTTTTGTTTCTACATTTAAGATCGGTCTGTGTCCTGTCGATTGTTGCTTTTTAATCGTTTGGTCTTATTGCTTGATGTTGTCCTGCAACAATAAGAGACTCTGTTTCTCTTTTAAGCTTTCCTTCTTTCAACTAAGTCCATGTTTCACTCTGTCTCGCAAACTGCCCGATTTGCATATAATGGCATCTCTTTCCATCCTCGGATATTTTTAGTTCTCTTCCTGTTTTTGAAACTGGCAGCCGTTTCTTGGTTTTCAACTCCTTCCCTCCTGACTGCTTTAAAAAACTCCTACTCACTATTATTATGATTATGATTATGATTATTATATGCATGTCTCACACTTATATTCCCCAAAGCATCAAGCTATCTCCAATAGTCTCGGCCCTTATTATTATTATTATTATTATTATTATTATTATTATTATTATTATTATTATTATTATTATTATTATGACTGTTATGATGATGATGATGATGATGGTGATGATTATTATTATTATTCAACTCGACCATGTGCTTTTGGACAGCGTAGAGTGACTCTCTAATGGTGGAATCCATTTCGTTACCGAATTCTGTGAGGATGGTTGTGTGCAAGACAAATGATTGTCTCTCTCTACGGTTCAGGGGGAATGACTCTGTCCAGTATCAGAATGAGTCCTTTTCTCATGTAGAGCTCTGCTGTGCTGTCAAAGAAGGTTTTGAGGTCAGGGCCGGTCTTATCCATTTGCCCGTTTGCATAGGCGTTGCTAGTTTGGTCAGGGTGGTATGTCATTAGAACTGTTGCAGTGGCAATGGCTAACATGAGGTCTTTAAAGGCCTTGTGTTGTTCTGTTGACCATTCAATTTTCAGAGGTCTTTAAAGGCCTTGTGTTGTTCTGTTGACCATCCAATTTTCATACGGTGTCTGGGCGGCTGGCAACGGCTGGAGAAATTGCTTATGACTGTGTTTGGCTTGTATTTCCTGCTGTGTGATGAAAAACAATAGTACTGACATTACGTGGTTGTGATTGGCTCTTTCCACTGTCGAGGTGCGAAGACTCCTCTGGGAACCGTTAAAATTATAAAACTACACGGGAAACGGTTGGCTCCAAGGACTTGCGTGTGAGATAAAGGCTCCTGGTCATACTCATGATAGGCTACTGAATAGGTGTATTTCTTCGCTTGTTTTGATTGTCCTGTCTCGGAGGCTTTGGTTTCCTTTGGAATAATTCTGGCGATGTCCGGTCTATCGTAAATGATCAGGCCATCCTTCTTTAGCGTGGCTCTTGAATACCAAAGAATCTAAATTGCTTTTTGGGATCCTCCTTCCATTTTGCCCATCGCATTGCTGTGCCTGTAGGACCACGATCGATAGTAAAGGGCTCCATACTGAGTTATCGCTACTGCTTTTTCAGTCATGGTGGTTTCTTCTCTTCGTCGATATGATCCTCGTCCGCCAATATAGTAATGCGGTTCTTTGTGCGGGTAATAATATTACAAGGAAGACATAACTCTCTTTTAGATGAACTGGTAGATTTATTGTAATTCACTGTACAGCTAAATCCTGGCATTAAGCGAACCCCCATTAAGCGATTATGAACAAAGTCCCGGAAATAATTTCCGTTAATTACTGTAAAACTGAACTGTATTAAGCGGAGGTCCAAACGATTTACTTTTTATTGTCTTCACCTCTATTATACGGGTACTTTGACTAGATTAACAGATACACCGTGTATGGTGTTTAGTTGTCTTTTACTTCCTTTCTTTTGGCACAAAAAGAGGTAAAGACACTTTGAGGTCAATTTGTCATGAGAAAGATATTTCGTTCATTGTCTTGAATAAATCTTGGTTTGTCAAATCTGTGTTAAATGGTCAACGTGTATCAATCGGTCAGTAAGAAATTCCCCAAGGGTAACCGCTTTTAAAATACAGGTTTGACAGTACACTATAGTAGTATTGTTACATTGGACATAATCAGGTTACATATTGGATGATGATCACGTGCGGATAATCAATGATGTAATCACTACAGCTAGATAAAATGTTCTTATAAGGTGCATTTTTCAGTTCGACCTCTTGTACATGTATAATTATTTGGGCGTCAAATAGAGTAATCGGGTTCGCTTGTTTTGATTCAAAGTTGCAATAGG